CGGTCGCCAGCCCGGCGTCGAGAGCGCAGGCGATCCTAACGGGCAAAATGTTTTGGAGCGATGGGTTGGGTTCCTCAAGTCCCTTCCGATACGGTTCCCTTATGCGTCTCACACTGAGATTGTCTACGCCGTGCAAAGAGTGGGCACAGCTGTGATGCGGGATCTTACCATGGCTCAAGGCAAGAGTTTCGGCTCGTGGTGGGTGACGAAGTGCTGGATCGACGAGATGACTTGCTTCCTTGCCGAGCAGGGTGGTTTTCTTCAAATGAAGACGTCAGGCGCGTCAGCAGCCGTGGCCAACCCTCAATCGGCAGCCCAAGAGTCGAACCGCCAAGGATCTCGGTTCAGCGCGGGTAGCGAGGATTTCAATTTCTCGAGTCTTCCTCAGGCACAACCAGACAAGGCGCCATTCCCACCATCAACAAGCCAGGGCCAGGTCGACTCTGCGGATATGTCGGCGGGAAACAACCCGGACGACAGCGGGATCGGCATCCGGACACCGGAGGAGGACTTCCCGATGGATAAATACACCTTCTCGCACTCGGAGGTCAATCAAGCGTTGCTTGCCAACGCTGAGTTGCAACAATGACGAATGGAGATCGGATTCTAGTCGCACCTGGCCAACCAGGTGTCATGTATCGATAGCCGCCTGTCAGACAGTCTCTTGTAGAGGCTTGATGCCAGAGGAGGACTGTCGACAACAGTGCGATGACGATGGCACGACTGCACGATTGTATGAGCGCGGAAAAAGTCTTGACCATTTGGTAAGGACAAGTCACTGGGAACTGCGCCTGTTCATTTCTAGACGGGGTTTGGGATTGTTTTTTTTTGCGGTCGGTGTTTGACGTGCGTGGCGATCGAGGTCGGCATTTGCATTTGGTTCTGGTTCTCGTGGGTTTGCTATACCAATTGTCTCTGGTTCTGGGCAAAGCAACGGTACTTTTGCATTTATACGTTTATCTAGTGGTAATACGACCCATACTGGGAGAGCTTTAAGCAGACAATGCATGCCCCTTTTTTGATGAGTTACAGATGCATGCATGCAAGACTTGGCAGGGCATTTTCACATTGCCTTTGCTCACTGTCTGATAAGACTGCCCAAGGCCCTGAAAGGCTCCAGGTCTTGTTGAGCAAAACTGGGTTGTCATGAGTTGCGGCGGCAACAGATCAGTGGCATGCAGAGTTGCGTCAAATGCGGCTATTTCACTGGGGGCGTGGGATCCCCGTCTGTCACTTCGTCATCGGCCAGTCTCTGATTCGCCATCCCCGCGCGGTCGCCAGGATTCGGCACCTAAAGGTTTTCTTCGAGAGAGGTTTCATAGGCTCTTTACGAGACCGCATTTGTGGAGTGGCTGGACGGGAGACGGCAGCGACAACGCAGAGGCTTGAAGAGACCACCAGAGCGGACGCACACAGCGAGTGACCCCCGTGGGGTTCATGGGTGATTACTAAATGGTCGTCCTGGAACCGTACTCTATTATCTAGAGTTTCCTGGATATTGAAGAGACGGACAGGTTTGCCATCGGTGTCAAATTACCTTCTTCAGAGGGGCTAGTGAAGCACCGATACTGCGTATGACTCAGACAAAGAAATTGTCACGGATAGAGGCTGCCGCGGGACACACTGCCCAATTCAGAGCCCTCGGTCGTACAGGTCTTTGCAGAAGCCAGGTCAAGCCAGGGGATCTATCGGCAGAGACCGTACAGATAGGTAGGTAGCAGCAACGGCAGCGGCGTGGCAGGTATGCGTTGGAGGATTACCCGGGATTTCAAAACTCAAGGCCCATTCATTATTACCTTTTGACCAAGGAACGGCACTGCTGAGGATTGTACGTCAAGACAGATAGTAAACTGACCAATGTACGGCTGTCATTGTTTGGTGACCTTGCAGCAGTGTATCTGTAAGGTCTCTCTGTGTAGGTAGGCACGAATAGTGTGAGAGATTCGGGCCCGCCTCCGATATTCCGGAAACGCAAAAATTTGGACGCTGCAACTTGCACAAGCGTCGCCGATTTCGTCGCTCCACCACATCCCACTTTCGTCCCATCCCCATCGCCTTGGTTTAATCCACCGCAACATAAACCACCTTGAACATAGCAATTCCACCGCATTCGAGCCGTGGACTCTCTCTTCCCACTCTGTAAACTCCCTGCACCTGTCATACCGCTTTCTCTTTTTTGCTGAACGCCTTGCTGCGTGACGCATCTCGCATAAGACACTCAGTTTGAGAGGGTTGACGTCCCAGTCTATCCGTCGCCATTCTTTATTTTTTTTTCCCTCTCTCCCTCCCATTCCCCCGTCGCTCACAGTGCCCCTCCTTCTTGGCCCGCCTTAAGCACTCATACCCCAAAACCAACCACTTTAGGCTCTGCGCGTAGCCATTGATACATCATGAGTAGTCAAACGATAGGGAACACATCCAGCAATGGCTGGGTGGTGCAGAAGTTCGGCGGAACCAGTGTTGGAAAGTTTCCAGACAAGGTTTGTTACTCTCCACTGAAAGAGGCACGATTGCTGCATGAGGCTGATCCAGTATACTCACACGCCAGATCGCCACGGATATTGTCCGGTACGAAACACACAATTCTCAAGTAGGATTGTGACCTGACTGACACATTCGTGTTTTAGAGCAAGCCTTTCCCACAACAAGGTCGTCGTCGTCTGCTCGGCAAGAAGCACGGGCAAGAAGATTGAGGGCACCACCAGCCGGTGAGTCACTCAGAAACGCAACCCAGCCTTCATTCTCAACTGACACCCTCCGCCAAAGACTGCTTGGCGTGTTTAACAAGCTCAAGGGCATTGCGGCGCCCACGACGCCCGAAGAGACACAGAATGAGCTCATGAACGAGGCCAAGGGTCTTATTGATGACATTTGCAAAGACCACGTATCGGCAGTCAAGACTTTCCTGCGCAACCCAGAATTACAGGCCTCCTTGGAACAGGAGATCCGCGACGAGTGCCAAGAGCTGGTCGAGTACATCGTCGCAGCCAGGAGATTTAACCTCGAGGTCAACTCAAGGTCAAAGGATCGATGCATCAGCTTTGGTGAAAAACTCAGCTGCCGGTTCATGGCCACATTGCTGAAGGACTTGGTACGGAATGGACATGGCTGTCCACTGTCTTGAAAATGCCGCTAATCAGACTCGCAGGGCGTCGCCGCGGAATATGTGGATCTCAGTGACGCGTTCCACCATGATGCCACGGCTCGTCTGAGCCAGGGCTTCTACCAGGAGGCCGCAGCGGTACTGAGGAAAAAGATCACGGCTTGCGAGGACCGAGTCCCCGTGGTCACTGGCTTCTTTGGCAACGTTCCCGGAAGCCTGATCGATGGTGACATTGGCCGAGGCTACACGGATCTCTGCGCGGCGCTGTGCTCAGTCGGTCTGAAGGCGGATGAGCTCCAGGTGTGGAAGGAGGTTGATGGAATCTTCACAGCAGACCCGACCAAGGTTCCTACGGCCCGCCTGTTGCACTCCATCACACCATCTGAGGCAGCCGAGTTGACGTTCTACGGTTCCGAGGTCATCCATCACTTGACCATGGATCAGGTTATTCACGCCTCGCCCCCTATTCCCATCCGCATCAAGAACGTCAAGAACCCAAGGGGAGTCGGCACCATCGTCGTGCCCGACCCCATCCTCACTGCCGGCCATCAGATCCAACGGTCAGCACCCGCAGACCCGTCCCTGGTCCAAAAGCCAAAGAGGCCCACGGCTGTCACGATCAAGGACAAGATCTCCGTCATCAACGTGCACTCCAACAAGCGGTCCATTTCCCACGGCTTCTTCGCAAAGGTCTTTTCTATCCTCGACAGCAACCAGATCTCTGTCGATCTCATCTCCACGAGTGAAGTTCACGTGTCCATGGCCATCCACGCCGGAAATTCAGAGGGTGGCAGCTTCGACAAGGCGCGGCTTGAGCTGGAGGAATGTGGCGACGTCAGCGTGCTCCATGACATGGCCATCCTGAGCCTGGTTGGTGCGGAGATGAAGAACATGATTGGTATCGCCGGTCGCATGTTCTCCACGCTAGGCGAGCACAACGTCAACTTGGAGATGATCTCACAGGGTAGGCCATCTTGGGGGGAGTGGGGGGGGGTTGGGTTGCGAGAGAAGACGCTTGCTAACGTTTCGACACAGGTGCCAGCGAGATCAATATTTCCTGCGTCATTGACGCCCGCGACGCTACTCGTGCCATGAACATCTTGCACACAAATCTATTCACTTTCCTTGACTAGGGCTTTCGTCTCGAACTGCCCCGCGCGCTTCAACTGCGCGCGGTGGGAGCGAGCTCTACCTTTTTGGATTGAAGTATATAAGTTTTCCCATGGGTCGGGTCATCTAAAAATGGAGCATGAATTTGCATTGTTGGATCAGAAAAGAAGAAAGAACGAAGAGTCTGGGTTGGAAAAGACAAGATTCCCTTGATTTATCTAGAGGTATATATCAAATGCACATGATTAGGTCAACTTTGGCATCAAAATTCTAGGCGTTGGTAGAGTAGATCGCGGATCAGGTCCAGAGGCAATCAATCATATCGACACACCATCAACTAATGGAGTTGAGAACATGAGAATTACCTGACAAGAAATTGTCAATATTGCAATAGCTGGCAATCAAGAACCACCCCGGTAACCAGACGAACGTAAATATTTACCCGTCAGGCCGAGGTCGGCGAAGTGGAATACAGTGCTTAGATGGCCATCGCACACGGCTCTGCCCCGCCACTTCTTTCATGAGCTGGGCGCAGACCCTTGTCAATTCCGATAAGATAAGCAGCAACAGAAGGATCCACAACCGACCCTGGAAGGGCTCGTTCAAGGTTGCTTTGCGACGATCTTCTCCTGTCAACATAACTGCATCCAACCTCGAATCCCACACGCGCCACTTATCGGAACCCTGCCCACGACATATAGATCCTACCATCGTACCTCCAAAACAACCCCCTCTTCCATATCAGAAACCGTCCACTAAAGAACGCCCCGAAAAAAGAACGCCCAAGATGCCGAAAGCAGAAGTCGGCTCGACAAAGCACCTGAGCAACAAGCTCAAGAGCAAAGGCCTCCAGCGGCTGCGCTGGTACTGCCAGGTCTGCGAGAAGCAGTGCCGCGACGAGAACGGCTTCAAGATGCACACGCAGTCCGAGTCGCACGTGCGGCAGATGCTCGTCGTGGGCGAGGACCCGAAAAAGTTCCTCAACGAGTACAGCAACCAGTTCCTCCGCGACTTCACGCAGCTGCTGCGCACGGGGCACGGCGAGAAGCAGGTGCAGATCAATCACTTTTACCAGGAGTACATTGCCAACAAGGAGCACGTGCACATGAACGCGACAAAGTGGCCCAGCTTGACCGAATTTGCGAAGCACCTGGGGCGGGAAGGCATCTGCCGCGTCGAGGAGAACGAGAAGGGTATTCACATTGCGTGGATCGATAACTCGCCAGAGGCGCTCAAGAGGCAAGAGGCGTTGAGGAGGAAAGAGGCCCAGGATCGGGGCAATGAGGAGGTGGAGCAGATGATGATCCGTGAGCAGATCAAGAGGGCGCAGAAGGCAGCCGAGGCGAGGGGTGAGAAGCCCGATGACGAAGAAGGGCGGGAGAGGGGGCTGCAGAGGACGGAAGGAGAGAAGGTGTCGTTGTCGTTCGGCGCCAAGCCTGCGGCGGCGAAGAAGGAGCCCAGCCCAACGGGAGCGCAGTCCAAGTCTGCCGATCCTGAGGTCTCGACTACAGCGACGAATACAGTGGCGTCCGAGAAGACAGAGGACAAGCCTGTCGAGAAGCCGTCTCTCGGAGGCGGTCTATCGCTCAAGATGACGGCGAAACCTCAGACCAAGAATGTGTTTGCGCAGGCGAAGAAGAACGCGCTGGTGGGCGGCGCGAAGAAATCTGCCTTTGAGCAGCCGAAGAAGATGAGTGAGGCGGAAAGGATCATGAAAGAGGACATGGAGAGGCAGAAGGGGAAACGACCACGAGACGGATCCGGGTCTGGTTTTGGCGGGTTTGCGTTCAAGAAGCAAAAGACGGATCAGCGGTGAGTCCAACTGTGAATCAGGGATCGATTTCGCGTCCATCGAAAGGCGTTTGGGTTTAAAGCAGGGGCAGCATCACATTGTAACGAAAAAGGAGGTTCAATAACTTCCATGGGCAAAACTCGGGTTGCACTTTTAGATACCATTTTGAGAATTGATTCATCTGAATAGAGTCTTCCCTGACTCCTTGCCGACCTTCTTTGACTCCCCGTAAAACGCCTTGTATGTAAAGAAGCACATTGTTCAAAAACTTGTAGCCAATCTCAAGCATCAACCTCCGTCTCCGTTCCGTCGCGCCTGTTACCAAAGTCAGTCAAAAATGCACCCAAAGCTAGACATCCACTCTTTTCCCGGAATCCACGCCAAAGAAGAGACGTAACATTGAAAGAGATAGATAGAGAGAGGGCGTTACTGACGGAATATAGTGTATCCTGTACTCCTCCTCGAGCGTGTTGCGAATCTCGTCGGGCAGCTGGCCCGAGACCTTGATCGCGTAGACGCCCCTCACGTAGTTGTCCAGGCGCTGCCACTTTGCCACCCAGGAGCGCTTCGGGTTTGAGAGGGTGATGAGGCCCTCGAAGACCTGGGACGTGCAGCTCTCGATCTGGTCCTGGGAGCCGGCCATGTGGAGGAAGTCTTCGCAGTTGGGGCAGCCTTCGTCGCGGAAGCGCTAGTTCGAGGGACAATGTCAGTCTTATTGATTCCGTGCAGTGGATCATTCCCACCGAGGCCTTTCATCCGGATAGTGTTGTAGGAAAAGTTGACTGTGGACGTACAGAGTAGGTCATGACGATTGAGCAGACCATGCAGGCGCGGAGGTAGCGCTGCTGACCGGGCGCGACGAAGTTATCAGCCGACATCCTTTTGAGATTATCTTTCCGATCGGAGATTCTGTCTTCGGTGTTCGAGAAGGATGGGGCGGGCGGTTGAGAAGTGTATCGCAAGGGTGAGGGTGAAAGTCGCAAAAGCTAGAGCTTCATTAATGGTCTTTCTGGCGGAAGAGAGGCTCTGGCTAAGAGTTCCTCAAGCAGCTGGAAGTCAAATGTGGGGCACCCGAGTGAAAGACATCGGTGTTTTCCATTGATGGCCCAGACTCAAAGTAACCTATCCGGTGTATGCATATATACAAGTACATGGATAATGATTGATTTTGGCGCAGACCCACCTCCAGAGCTTCTTTGATTCCCTGCTCGAATCACATTACATGCTATTCTTCTCTCTCATTGAAATTCTCTCCTGCCGCCTGTCACACATCTCTTCAATCTAAGGAACTCACAGAGCCCATATTCTGTCAAAGAAGCGTCGAGAAAGACCTCATTAATCGACCAGAGAGAAAACAGCCAATATGACGACGGAAAACTCATCAGCTGGCGACGCACCCGCCAGCACATGGCGCGCAACGGGCCAGAAATCTCACGAGCTTCTCACATGCACTATCAAGGCCCCGATCTTCTCCTACACTCATTTGGAACTCATCTCCGAGTCTCCGACAACACAAGAGGCATTGGAACTGGACAATCTTCAAGTACGCTCGTATTGCAATGCTGCTCTCGCCCAATTCCTGGGCGCAACAGGCTCCGCCATTCCCATCGATATACTCAAAGTCGAGGGCGCACAGTGCTGGCTGCGCGTGCCCCGGCAGGATCTTAGCCCCTTCGCCGCCGCGATCACGGCGTGGGCAGGTGTCTCGGACCAGGGAAGCCGGCGAGTTCTCCGGGTGAAGCAGTGCTCTGACTACTTGGGCGCTATCGTCGGCACCGATGGCCAGGACAAGCTTTGGTCGTCATGAACCTACACCTCGGTAGAGCTACGGAGAACAAGAATAAGAACTGGTCTTTCTTTTGGCCAAACACCCAACCGTCGTATTATTCTAGATTCGGGGTTATTGTGTGCGCCCGCAGGGCAAGAACTCCGATTTATCCGCATGGCCAAACCCACGCTGCCACCCAGCCCCTTATATGCGCCGATCACATGCACCATGTATGCTGCGGATGCAAACTATACCTTTTCATACCTTAGGGACGGCCGTCCGCATATCATCAAACTACATCAGAGAAGACATGAGAGAACTCTGGGCATACGCCTTGAAAGTGGAAGGTCAGCGGCAGAAGGAAAAAAGGAGGAAGGGATATGTCTTACCATAGGCTTGATATCCGGGTGAGGAACGGCGTCGAACTGCTTGAAGTCGAGCTTGTAATCGGGGCCTACATTGATGTAGGCTCCCCTGTTCTCGGTGGAGTCGCAGTATCTTGGCGCGGAGAACACTACGACAGTCAATTCCAGGTCATGGACGGTCATGGGAGAGCACAGAAACTTACCAGTAATGCAACGGCCGTCGTGCTGCACCTCGTAGCCATCCATGCGAACTTCGTGACTGCGAATGACGGCCTCGAGACCGTTGTTCTCGCAGAATCTCTTGGTGATATCGGGGCCGAACTGCATGCCAACACCGCGCTTGCTCGGGCCACGGCCGGGCTCCTCTTGGGGGTCCGTCCACAGCATTTCCATCATGAGACCCGCCTGGCCAGGCTGGCGCTGGGCGTGTCTGTCGAGCTTTCGGATGTCGTCCAAAGTGACCTTGTCGTCTGAGAACAGACCACCGTGCAGCACAAGGTACTTGGTGCCGATCAGAGTTGCCAGGGGCAAAGCAGAGAAACTCTCTGAGAAGAGCTTGAATATTCTCTCGTTGTACTTCGCCTTGCACTCGCCCTCGAAACCGTACACACGGTTCATGTCATCGGTCTCGTGGTTACCACGGTTCAGGAAGAAAGCGTTAGGTCGAAGCCACTTGTATGCGTAGAGCAGAAGAGCGATTTCGCAAGACCATGATCCACGGTCGACAAAGTCACCGTTAAAGAGGTAGAAGTGCTTGTCGTTGGGCGTTCCGTTGAGACGGAAAAGCTCCATGAGATCAAAGTATTGGCCTGGCTACAAGTAAGTATTTTGGTACCAAATGAGATGCACAGAAACATACCGTGTGTGTCACCGCAGACTGTGAGTTGTGTGCCCTCGGGGATCTTCATCTCCACCATAGTCGGCTCGTCATAGACAAGCTTCTTGACGGCCAGGATGATTTGGTAGACATATTTCCTGTGGATCTTCTTGCCGTTCTTGAAACGCTCCGTCATGTCGTCAATGAACTCTTGCGTCATCTCCTCTCCTAATCTGACGCCATCGTAGTCATCCTCAACACTGATGGTGCTAAGATCAAGGCCTTCCGCAGCTGACGGCTCGTCACCAACCTCGATGGCGGCGAAGAAGTCCAACTTGCGAACAATCTTTCTGCATTCGTCCAGCTTCAACTTAGCATCCTTGTTATTTGGGTCGAGTGCTATACACTTCTTGAAGTCGCCGAGAGCGTCCTTTGGTCTGATAATGGCGGTTTGGGCAAGGCCTCGGCGGAAGTATGCCTAAAGTCGTACCGACGTCAGCAAACCAGGATCATTGGCTGTGTCCGGGATTGCCCACCTTAACGAAGTTGGGGTTGAGCTCGATCGCCTTCGAACAATCCGCAATAGCATAGCCGAATGCTTCAGACTTGATATTTGCCTACTCGTAGTCAAGATTGTATTAGTCACGCGAGCAGCTTGACTTCGCAGCCTGGGCGCAGCGAGGGGGCAACGAACCTGGGCGCGGTTGGTGAAAAACGTTGGCTCTTTGTCGTTGAGCTCAATAGCCTTGGTGTAGAACTCGATAGCAGCGGGCCAATCGTGAGAAGCAAAGGCCTTGTTGCCTTCATTCTTGAAGGCTGTCGCCTTTTCCTCTGGCGTAGACATGGCGGCGGCAACGGTACTCTACTGCAGAACCAAAGTGTGGGGTATCCGTATCGCAGTTGAGAGACGATGGAGGGGTTTCTCCAGCTGGCGTTCGCACACGAAACAGTGGGAAATTCAGTTGACGTTTCCGTGAGCGTGAATTTCGAGTGTGATTTCCCCAGCCGAATCGCAAAATTGGGGGCGGGAAAGAAGAGGTGGTTGTAGCAAAATTTGCTATGCAGCAGAAGCTCTTCGAAGGTTGAAGTTGCCGGGCTTGGGTCGGATTCGAAAGCTTCCTTTTGCGACGGTTCGGCCCTTAAACCCTCTTCAGTATTCGGAGCTAACAGGAAACAGTGCGCTGCTACCGCACGGTGCGATACAGTTGCAGCGGGGTGGCACTGGGTTGCCACTTCAGGAGTCCGACAGGGGCGCTGAAAGGGCGGCGCCGTGGTCTGGCCCCTCCCTCTGCTCCCGTGAGGAATGAGCTTCCATCGGCCACTACGGATGCCTGGGAAGGTAGGTACTTTAGCGGAGTACGGACGACTTACACCTCCAGGCATGATGTACGTAGTGCAGGACCCCTTCGACAGGGAAGCCTGAGGTACCCGTAGCCTTGATACCTGGTAGTTGCATAATTACCTACCTTTTGGCGAGTCTAACCTTATCGCTTATCGGAGCCGCCCCATGTCACTCGGACCCGAACTTGGGCGCAACTCAGACTTTCAGATTGGCCTCAGCACATCGATCCGACATCAAACTCCTCACGCGACATCTACCCAACGCATGGCGCTGGCGGCGCGCTCCTCGTGTACCTACATTCCTTTCAACGCTGACTTTTCAACGTGATCGGCCCCAGTCTGTCAATGATGGAGCCTCAAGAACGTACATCAACCGCGCTTGTGCGCAAGCGGACCGACCTCGAACTGATGCCACCACCGCCTGCCGCGAAGAAAATCAAACGCCCGAAAAAGGTCATAGATGAAGATACCTACACCGACGCCTTATCGCAGATCATTGCACGTGACTTCTTCCCCGGACTCCTCGAGGCCGAGACACAGCAAGAGTACCTCGACGCTCTCGAATCAAAAGACAAGGCATGGATTTCCAATGCTGGCCAGAGGCTGGAGCGTGTGATGACGCCGGGAAGGAATAGGGTCAAAAGGCCCATGCCTTTTAACAGCGCTGGACGAACACCATCCGCATATGGCGCAGATACGCCGGCATCAGTGGCATCGACGGTATACGAAGCGC